ACCATCGACCTGAAGGAGAATAGACTCTAAAGGGGAGAAAGACGATTAGTCTAACCTGGTCTAAAGCCTTACCTCAGCTTCGTCCTGCCATGCTCGTCTTTTATAGCTTTCTGAGTGATCACCCTAATCATAGAAAACAAAACTTTGGTTAAGATATTAATCCTGGGACTAATGCATTTTTCTTTTTATTATTTTATATATATATATATAATTGCCCCAGCCGGTGTGGGTAAGTGGTTAGAATGTCAGCCTGTGCACCAAAGGGTCATGGGTTCCATTCCCAGCCAAGGGTACGTACCTGCCTCTGGTTGGGGCGCGTGCGACAGGAAACCAATTAATGTTTCTCTCTTTTTTCCTCTCTCCCTCCCTCCCTTCCTCTCTCTGAAAAAGCAATGGGAAAAATACCCTCAGATGAGGATTAACAAAAAAATTAAACATATATTGTTATTGATTTTTAGAGAGAGAGGGAGGGAGGGAGGAAGAGAGAGAGAGAGAGAAATACCATTACCTACCTCCTGCACCCCCACCAGGGATTGAGCCCGCAACTTGGGCATGTGCCCTGACTGGGAATCAACCGGCATCCTTTTGGTGCACTGGAAGACACCCAACCAATTGTGCCACACCGGTCCGGGCACATTCTTCTTCCTGTGTTTCCTTCCCAGTGACCCCCTAAGACCTGGCGGTTTCTGTAGGTTCGAGTCTGCTCCACACAGATCATCCCTGCTCTAAGCTGGAGACCCAGAAGTAAGTGAGAATTACTCTCTGCTCTCAAGACGCTCACCAGGTAGTAAATGCTACAGCAAAAGTGAACCACACTCAGAGGTCATGGAGGTGGGAACGGCCTCCTTCAGGAGGCCTGGGAAGCTTCCTGAAAGAGGCATTGCCTTCAAACCAGCCTCTGAAGGTTGTCAAGGGCAGAGTTCCTCAACGTTAGCACTATTCTCATGTTGGACCAGATGATTCTTTAGTGAGGGAGGCTGTCCTGTAGATGTCTGACAGCATCCCTGACCTCTACCCCCGGGATGCCAGAACTCCCTCCCCACACCCACAGCCCAAAGTCATGCCACAATAAAAACTGTATCCAGACACTGGCAAATCTCCCCTCGAGGGCCACACTGCCCTGGATTGAAAACCTCTGGGTAAGAGCTTGCCAGGCAAAGGAAGGGGAGAGAAGCATTCTAGTTAAGGAGTAACAGGTGCAAAGGCATACAAGTGTGCTCCTCCATGGCAGAGTTTAGGGAAATGACTCCAGATGACCAGAGTATGGTATGGTGGGAGGGAGAGCAGAGAGAAAGAAGTGCTGAGAGTAGAGGCTCAGGAAAAGGCTATTAAACCCAGGATGTTCTCAGTAACCGAGTGAAAGAAACCAGGCCAGAAAGCCTCACTAAGTTGGATTAGCATATTTGCTACAAAGTGACATAGGTGTACAGAAGAAAACTCACATCTGACTAATTAGCAAGCCTGCCACTCTGGATGTGAATGACCTTCACAGAGGTCCCCACAGGTGGCCACATGCCACCACCAGAACTCCTTGAGAATGGCTTCATAAGAATTCTCCACGGAGGCAAATCTTCCTCTAAAGATGTGTGGTTTTTTAGAAATAGTCAAATAGCTGTGCAATAGTAATGGATCAAGAATGAGGATCTTGCTTGATTGGCATGGCTCAGTGGTTGAATGTCGACCTATGAACCAGGAGGTCACAGTTTGATTCCCAGTCGGGGCTGTGGGCTCAATCCCGAGTGGGGGGCATGCAGGAGGCAGCCGATCAATGACTCTCTCTAATCATTTGTTTCTATCTCTCTTTTCCTCTCTGAAATCAATAAAAATATATTTTTTTAAAAAAGAACAACAAGCTTATGTGTTGTGTGGCCATTAAAAACTGCCATTTAATTAGCATACGGCCTCCCTTATTGGGTATGCAGAAAAGGGATACTACATCTATGAATAGATAAACTCTATTTGTTAAAATAAATCATACCTATACCTCAGGAACAGTTTTCTGAAGTATTTCCTGTTTCCTCACATTTAATCTGCAAGGAAGATAAATGTGCCTGGACCTCTCCTAACCTTGGGTTTTAGCTTCTCCCCACAGACCACTCTAGTGTGGTTTCCAATTCAATTCCCTCCACATCCCTCCTCCAGTGACAGCTCCAAATGGGGCAGTTTAATTAGAGGTAATACTTGATGATGGGCCAACAAGTGCTCCTCTATTAATGAGGTTCACTAATTTCCTTAGTGGTGCCATTACCTCTGCAAAGCTGACTCCTTGCCAGGAAGTCGACTCAAAGGGGCAAGCTGGAGAAATGTGACCAAGCAGATGTCCTGAAAATCCCAAATTATTCCCTCGCTGGTCTCCCTGCTTCAGGTTTCCACTCATCAGAACACCTGTGTACTCTGACCACCCCTGCCTGAGACACTTAAAATTTGGTACTCATTCACACATCCCTTCAGTCAGCACCCATCAGGTACCATGAACTGTTAAGACACTGCAGACAAAGTTCACAGTGCAGTGGAGCAGACAGGAAAAATCTATAATAATAAAAGTGTAATACGCTAATTAGACTGGATGTCCTTCTGGATGAAGCCAGGGCTGCGAGGGAAGCCCAGGTCTTGGGTGCCGGAGGGAAGCTGGTGTTGGCAGCTGGGGGAAGGAAGGCCTACTCTTGCACGAGTTTTGTGCATTGGGCCTCTGTATTAGATAATTACAATACAGTATACTATGAAAGAAGTATGCATAATGGGCATAAGAATCACAGAGTAGGAATAGTTAACTTGTGTGGATACACACAAGAAGGGGGCATGAGTTGAGTCTTACAGGTAAGAATTTACTTAAATGAAGAAAGTAGGAAAGAGCATTCCAGATAGAGTGCACAGCATGTGCAAAGGTGTAAAATCTTGATGCCAAAAAGCTTCAAGTGGCTAACGTATAAATTTGGGCATGGAGAGTGATAGGCAGTAGAGCAAGAGACAAGGCTAGAAAGACTAGCCGGTGGCCAAAGCACAGAGGGCCTTGGGTACTGTGATAAATGGTTTAAGCCACTGGGAGACAGTGAAGGATTTGGTATGAGAGGGACATAAGATGTGTACTTTAGAAAGATCACTCTAGCAGCTGCGTGGAAAATGGGTTGGAAACGGAGAAAAGCATGCATGGGATACAAAGGCTCTGGCAATAGAATATGAGCTTTGTGAGGGCAGAGACTCTGTGTGCTTCATTACCTCCTTACGTTGTCACATTTAGGCCCCTGCAGGCACTCAATAGATACGGCTGAATTAACAGTCTTGGAAAGAAGTGATTAAAAACAAAACAAACAGCCCTAGCTGGTATGGCTCAGTAGATACACCGTCAGCCTGTGGACTGACGGTCCTGGGTTCGATTCCAGTCAAGGGCACATGCCCAGGTTTCAGGCTTGATCCCCAGTGGGGGGTGTGCAGGAGGCAACCGATCAATGAATTCTCTCTCATCACTGATGTTTCTATCTCTCTCTCCCTCTCCCTTCTTCTCTGAAATCAATAAAAAAATATATTAAAACAAACAAACAAACAAAAAAGCTGGGCCCCTCAAGCTGCCCATTAAAACTCTAATGAAATTGAGGATGTGCCTAAGCCTACAAAATTGGACCATGAAGGACAGAAGTGAGGATACACATTGGGGGTGTGGTGGGGGGGAGGGTGCTGATCATGTGAGCTGGTGGTAAGGCTAAGAGTAGAAAGATAAAAAACAGACTAAAGCTTTCTGGCTAACAAATGACCAACCTCGGTTCCAGGTGGTGGATACCCTGGAGTTTTTGGCGCAGATCCGCCTGGCCAGAGCAGGATGCTTTAAAATCTGGGATTTACACAGCTGTATCAGGCTGTCCACAATGACAGGGCTTGGAAAAAAGAAGAAACATTTGTAGACTTCAAACAACATGTTGACCCCAAAATCCATCACCTGGAAATCTTACTGACTTGGGGGAAACTTACCAATAGGTCTTTCTCTTGGGGACGTCTTCAGTGGAGTGCCAGAGACGGGCATGAGAGATCACGTTCAGAACGCGTTCATCTTGGTTCTCTATGTGGTTCCGTGGGTCGTCAACAAGGCTAAGTACTTTGTCGGGAAGACCTTCAATTAACTTGGTCTTGGTGAGCCAGAGGGCCTGCTTTACACCTTTGGGACAGTCAGTCACCAAAAAAAAAAAAAAAAAAAAAAAAAGACAATTCAGACTGAGATACTTAAGCCCATCTTGTGGCAAAGGCTGCAGAGAGTGAGAGAGAGAGAGGAGAGAGAGAGAGAGAGAGAATGAGAGAGAGAGAGAGAGAGAGAGGAGAGGGAGCCATCTAAGGGGTCAGAACTAACAATAAGGAGCAGAAGCTAGCACAGCCAGATTTCAACTCCCCTTCAGGAATGACTGTCTACGGATGGGTGGTTAACTGAGACCGTGCGTGCCAGCCCCAAAGCCATTAAAAAGGGGCTGAGACGGCTGAGCCATAAGGGTCTGTCTGCTGCACTCAGACCGACCCTGGGGGATCAGGTCGATGGATGCCCACCTTTCCAAACCCAGATCTCTTCTACTGACCCACCCCCATTCCTGACAGGAAAAGCCCATATCTACCAAAGGGACCTCATGCATTAGAATTAAACCCATGCAAACGTGTAGAAACGGAATTTCTGGATTTTTCGGTGGAACATACAAAACCCTGGAGCAGGAGTGGGGTTTGAGTCCCCACACTGCCACTGCTCCTTAAACTTGGAAGCGTTCTGGAAAGTCTATAACAAAACTCCGGAGGATCGAGAGCTAGAGAACCAGATGGGGGTAGGGAAGCGATCGGGGACTTTACAACCCACTGAATCCAAACGCCTCTCGGAAAACAGGAGTCACTACTGGCCCCGTTTCGCAGACGAAGAAACCGAGACCCTCGGAATGTCAATGTCTTGCCCGGCGCTACCGAGGGCAGGGGTCAGCGCTGGGAAGAGGAACGAGGTCCCCTCCCGCCCGGCCTGGGGCCTCACCCTCCAGGAGGCGGCAGCGCTGGTGGAAGGTGTGGCAGGTCCGGTCCTTGTACAGCGGATGCTCGTGCACGGGGGGCGGCTGGCGGAACCTTGGATGCGTCCAGCCGCGATCCCAGGGCGGGAAGACCGGCCGCGCCAGCCAGGGCACGAAGTGCATCTTCCCCGCGTAGGTGATGGGCTCCAGTCCAGGGATTTCGTACACCCTGTCCAGGGGAGGAGGCTCGGGCTTCCGCGTGGAGCGGACTCCCCATTCGTACGCCCCGCGTTTCGGGGCCCCACAGCCCCCAAGGCCGAGCTGTCCGGGGCGAGCCAGCGCCAGCCTGGCGGGCCCCGACGCCAACGCCATGCCTGCCGACTTGCTCTCCTCAAGACCTCCACCAGGACGCCGCCATCTTCCCATGCGCAAGGCCTGCTGGGAACGAAAGGGGCTGGGCGCCGAGCCTCGTCCTGTGAGTGGCAGCCACTCGAACCAATCAAGGCCAGGCATCCTTGTCTTGCCCCACCCTCGGGGGCGGGAACAGGAAGGATCCTCGGGTGAAGGGAAGCCCAGCTGTGTAGGTGAGTGGTCGGGTCGGGGCAGGGATGGGACCAGAACACCTGGAGTTCAAACCCGGACTCGGAGGAACTTGGGCCGCTAACCAGGAGCTGGAGCTTGGCAAGGACTTCCCTCTGAGCCCAGGGCCCTTTGCTGTAAAGACAGAATAGAAACGCCTAGGCCAGCGCACCTGCGCAGCGCCCTGCACGTAGTGGGTGCGCTGAGTGCCCTTCCCTCTCCGCCACTTCTCGCAGCTGCGGGCCGGTTACCGCGTCCCTCTCCCACGCCTGACAGCGGCCCTGTCCACACACCAGCGCCGCGGCTCGGGTCGTGGTGCAGGCCTCTTCCCAGCGCCCAGAGGGACTGACTTTCCTCCCTTTTCCTCGGGATTTCCCTTTCCGCCTCCTGGAAGCGGGGCCAGAGCGATGGAGGCGGTCTTTGCTCCTGGAGCAACACCTCGTTATCACATGCCCACTGTGATCGTCTAGGGGGGAAACAGCCAGGAAGCAAACAAACAGTTGGAGAAGAGAGAGAGAGAGAGAGAGAGAGAGAGAGAGAGAGAGAGAGAGAGAGAGAGAACAGTGCCTGACACATAGTAAATACATGTTTAACGAATGAATACTAGTAGAAGCAAATAGTGTGCATGATGGGGAATGAGAAGGGGCGGTCAGGGAGGGCCTCTGAGGGGAGGTGGCCTTTAAGCAAGGCCTGAAGGGTGAGGAGAGTCATCCAGTAGAGGCAGTGGGTGTCAAGGCATGGCTGAAAGGTGGTGCCTCTGAGACTGAAAAGGCAGAGACGGGAAGGAGGCGTGAACCGGGTCTTTAAAATTTGTGACTGACATGGCCAACTTCTCTACCAATTTCCAAAATACCAGAGAAAGTGGGATTACTAAAACATGGAAAAGGTAAATTTAAGGCAAAGACTGATAGGAATAACCCTCACAATGTATAGCTGCTTACAATAAATGGAGTTCTTTCCCTCATCTCACTTTATCTTTCTTTTAAATTAATCTTTATTGTTGAAAGCATTACAGATTTCTTTTGTTTTTTGTGTGTTTTTTCCCATTGACCCCCTCCTCCAGCCACCCGCCCCTCCCTAGCTTTCACCACACTATTGTCTGTGTCCATGGGTTATACATATCTATAATAATAAAAGTGTAATATGCTAATTAGACCAGACAGCTGAACGACCTTCTGGACTTCCTTCCGGACGAAGCTGCTGCAGCAGGGGCCAAGGCAGAGGCAGTTAGGGGCGATCAGGCAGGCAGGCAAGCGGTTAGGGGCAATCAGGCAGGCAGGCAGAGTGGTTAGGGGCGATCAAGCAGGCAGGCAAGTGGTTAGGGGTGATCAGGTAGGTAGGCAAGCAGTTAGGGGCAACCAGGCAAGCAGGTGAGTGGTTAGGTAGGCAAGCAGTTAGGGGCAACCAGGCAGGCAGGCAGAGGGGTTAGGGATGATCAGGCAGGCAGGGGTGATCAGGTAGGTAGGCAAGCAGTTAGGGGCAACCAGGCAGGCAGGTGAGTGGTTAAGGACTATCAGGAAGGTAGAAAGAGTGGTTAGGGGCAATCAGGCAGGCAGGTGAGTGGTTAGGAGCAACAGGCAGGCAGGCAGAGGAGTTAAGGGAGAAAGATCAGGCAGGCAGGCAGAGGGATTAGGGGCAACAGGAAGGCAGGCAGGCAGAGGGGTTAGGGCAATCAGGCAGGCAGGTGAGTGGTTAGGGTGATGAGGCACGCAGGCAGGTGAGTGGTTAGGGCACTGAGGCAGGCAGGCAAAGTGGTTAGGTGTGATCAGGCAGGCAGGCAGGCAGGCGAGCGGCTAGGAGCCAGCAGTCCCAGATTGTAAGAGAGATGTCCCACTGCCGGTTTAAACCAGCAGTTGGCCATCCCCCAAGGGGTCCTGGATTGCGAGAGGGTGCAGGCCAGGCTGAGGAACCCCCTCCCCGCCACCGTGCACGAATTTCATGCACCAGGCCTCTAGTATGCATATAGGTTCCCCAGTTAATCTCTCTCCCTCCCTACCCCCACCTTCCCTCTGAAATTCATTAGTCTGTTCATGGTTCTATTGCAGAGAGTAAGAAATTGGCATAGCCAGGCTGGCATGGCTCAGTGGTTGAGCATCGACCTATGAACCAGGAGGTCACAGTTCGATTTCAAGTCAGGGCACATGCCCAGGTTGCAGGCTCGATCCCCAGTGTGATTGTACAGGAGGCAGCTAATCAATGATTCTCTCTCATCATTGATGTTTCTCTCTCTCTCTCCCTCCCTTTCTCTCTGAAATCAATAAAAATAAAAAAATAAAAATGAATTGACATAAAGAGGGTACCAGACCTCATTCCCTCATATACATAACTGGCACATCACATGCAATAAAAGTGGGTCAAATTGATGTAACACCACGCTAGGCTGCAAGCTCTGTGAAGATGGACCCATGTCCCCTTTACCTCTGCTATAGCATAGCACCTAGCACTGTGCCTGGTTCCCAGACTTTATCTGTAAACAGAATGAGCACTCACCACTCACTGGAGCCTTACAAATGCCAGGCCTGAGCTTGGTGGTAGAATACAGAAAAAATAAGATACCACCCTTGCCCTCAAGGGGGTCCCAGCCTGCTAAGCCTTCCTGAAATAGCACCAGTAGTAGAACCAGGTTTTCTGAATCCAAACCCTTTCCTCTGTAAGATAAATTTATTGCACACAGGGGGACTCCCTTCTAAAACCAGTGAGAGTAAGTGATAAGAAAATTTGGACAAGCTCTGATCAGGAAGAGCCTTGGGCATCGGGCAAGAAGATTGGATTCAATCCAGTAGGCGATGGGGAGCTGTTAGAAGTTGCTAAGCAGGGGACTGGTGTCATCACAGCTGGTGGCAGGTGCACTGATGGATGGTGTAGAGAGACTAGAAGCACATCCTTTGGGCCTGTGGGAAGCTCCAGGGTAAATGGATGTGGGAAGCAGGAAAAGTGGAAAAGTTCTTAATGATTAATATTCCTTGGGAAGGCCCTAGCCCAGTAGCTCAGTTGATTAGTGTCGTTCCCAATACGGCAAGGTTGTGGGTTTGATCCCTGGTCAGGGAACATACAAGAATGAACCAATGAATGCATACATAGGTGGCACAACAAATTGATGTCTCTCTCCTCTCTCTCTCTCTCTCTCTCTCTCTCTCTCTCTCTCTTCCTGCCCCCTCTCTCCCTTCTTCTCTCTCTAAAAAAAGATTCCTGGGAAGTGATTGGTAACCAAGAAACAGGACTTTCAGATCCTCTGGCCAACTTAGTGGTTTAGCCCTCTGCCCTTCCACAGACTTGGCCCACACCTTGATCCTAGCACTTTACGCACAAATGAAATTAGTGCCATTGGGAGGCTCCGGGGTAGCCATAAAATTCAGTGACAGTTTGGCAAGTTGGACCCCTGTTCTGTGCCATCAGGCGCTGGGAATTGTATGAAGACCCTCCCCCCCGCCCCCTGCTCTTACTCCATTCTTCCCCCGTCCTCCAAAAGCATGAAATCTAGTGAGAAAGAGCACTAGCCTGGAGACATAAGAGACCTGCTAACCTTACCACTCTGGCTTCCTGACCTGGGCCTCAGTTTTCTGTGAGGTGAGGAAGAACACGGATTGAGTGGGGCAGTGCAAAGTGCTTGGCGTAGACTCTGGCTCAGTTGGTGGCATCTGTTCTATATGGTTATTATCCCTTTAGAGCATTGGTTCCCAACCTTCCTAATGCCGCGGCCCTTTAATACAGTTCCTCATGTTGTGGTGACCCCCAACCATAAAATTATTTTTGTTGCTACTTCATAACTGTAATTTTGCTACTGTTATGAATTGTAATGTAAATATCTGATATGCAGGATGTATTTTCATTGTTACAAATTGAACATAATTAAAGCATAGTGATGAATCACAAAAACAATATGTAATTATATATGTGTTTTTCCAATGGTCTTAGGCGACCCCTGTGAAAGGGTCGTTCAATCCCCAGAGGGGTCGCGACCCACAGGTTGAGAACCGCTGCTTTAGTGGCTGACTCTCCCACAAGGCCAGTTGCTCCTCCAGAGCACAGACTAGGATCACTCACCTCTGCATCCCAGCACCTCATTCAGCGCCCCTGTTCGTGTCTCCGGCAGGAATGAATGAGTGGAAATCAAAGGCGGGGGCTCTTAGAAGTCGTTGCATTTTAGAGGAATGATATTTAATTAAATAATGTTTTGTGACGTGAGATTTAGCCTCAGTTCTATTCTCAGGCAAGAGGGAGAGAACGTCCTCTTTTACTTCAATTTCCCTGTGGAATTTTAAAATATTTTTAAAATTCAACAAGATTTTCTATGTAAAGTGCTTAATCCAGCACTCAGAGCACAGGAAAAGGTCAGGAAACCTTGATGCCAGCTTTGATGGTTCTGTTCTGTTTGCCTGCCTCCCGCTCCAGGCACCAGACTCCAGGGTGGTTCATCCCTGTCCTCACTGCTCACACAGCGCACGCACGCACGCAAGGCATCTGCACGTCTCAGGAGGATGGGAGGAGTCGAGGTGACCAGAGTGTAACGATATGTTTTCCCTCTCCGGACCTTCCAGGGAACGGGGCCTGGGCCAGTGACTCTCACAGAGCCAGGCCTGCTCTGGGAAGAGCACCTGTCGTCTCCCCCCCCCTCCCCCTCCCCAGGCTGCCTGAGCCTCTGATGATGGATGAGAAGGAGGAGGACGATGATGAGGAAGCCTGGCTGCAGCTTCGGCCTGTGGAGCCCTTGCCCTCCCAGTGCTGCGGCAGTGGCTGCTCACCCTGTGTGTTCGACCTCTATGACCGAGACCTGGCGAGGTGGGAGGCAGCCCGAGCCAGCAAGGACAGAAGCCTGCTAAGAGGGAAGGAATCACCGGTAAGGGTCTCCTCAGACCAGAGGGCTCGGGTGGCAGCATCTGTCTGGCCTCAGGTCCGCCAGGATAGATAGCCTCTCCCTGGGGAAAGTGGGGAAGATGCTTGCATGTCTCTTGAGTCCCGCTTTCTAGCCGCTGGATATTTTCCTGTTGTAGAACTTCCCCTCCAAACTGAGCCCAGAGACGTTCCTGGCCTTCCGCATCAGTGCCATGGACAAACTCACTCAGGACACCTACTGTGTGCGGTTTGCACTACCCGGGAGCAGCCAGCTCGGCTTGCGGCCGGGCCAGCACCTCATCCTACGGTACACTCAGGTAGTGGGAGGATCAAAGCTTTGCAGCTCTGCTTTGCCATTTGCTAGCTGTGGCCTAGGGCGACGGCTTAACCCCCCACTAATCATCTTCAAAGTAGACATGGTAATACATGATTCAGAGGGTTCTTGGGATTGAACAAGAATGCATTTTCATAGTAAATAAAATAGCAAACACTAGTAGCACATACTATCCAAGGGACAATTCTGTGTGCTTATGAGCTCATTTAATTCTCACAAAATCCCGAGGAGTAGGTACCGTTAGCATACCCGCGAAGAAACTGAAGTCACAGAGGCTTAGTAGCTTGCCCAAGGTCACACAGCTAGGAAATGTTGGAGCCAGGATTGGAAGGCAGGCAGGGTGGCTCTAGTGCCTGTGGTATTAACCTGTATGATTCGTGCCAGTCGATAGAAAGGACACTGTCTTGGAGAACAAGGGACTTGCCCAGTATCACATAGCCAATAAGTTGTGGAGCCCGCGTTCAAACTCAGACAGCCCAGCTCCTGAGTTACACTCTTAACCACTCTCAAGTTTCTTCTTCCTCCAGCCTACCTGTGTACTCTCCTCCCGCCTTTGTTTCCACCTTCACCTGTCCAGGCACAAAGACCCTTTGGGACCTCCAGATGGAGGCCTCTGCCGGGCAGTTAACGCTGTGGATATGAGGCTCAGCAGAGAGATCTGAGCTGCAGACATGGGCATGGGAATCATTGGCATCTACCTGGACAGCATTTGGGAGCACGTGGCATGGAAAGTGGGAAGGGCGGGGAACCAAACCCTGGCTACTCTAGCATTTACGGTATTGGCAAGAGGAGGAAGAGCCAGCAAAGGAGACAGAAGGTGAAGCCAGAGGACAACGAGAACCAAGAGAGAGCATATTACTGGTCATCCTCTGGCCACTTGCGTTGCACTGACCCCTGGTGTTTGTGCCCAGCTCATTCTGACCTGTGGCCTGGCTGGCAGTCCTTAAAGCTCACCATTCCCATGGATGGGAGGGGCCAGAGGGCAGGTCACAGCTCCATGCAACTGACCATAAGTCAGGAACTCCCTCCCTCTCCTCCACCCTCTCCGCCACTCCAGTGACCTTCCTAACCCATGCAGCTGACCATGTCACTCCCTGTCCAACACCTGTGCTCATGACGCCTACATAATGGCATCCTAACCCAGACTCCCAGCTTCCTTTCCCATCAAGTTCTCTCTCCCCCTGCTGCATATGTGCCCCTTGTTCCAGCCTCATGATCCACTCACCAGTTCCTGCCCTACGTCATCCTACCTCTAAGCTTTTGCCCAGTATTGCCCTGCCTGGAATTACTTCCCATTCTCACCTGTCAGTGGCCTGCTCATCCTTTAACCCCAGCTCCAGGAGGCCCCCTGAGGTTCCCGGTGCTCCCAGTGAGTGGTTGCTCCCTCCGTAGCATGTCAGTTTTGCCTGTTGTAGCAAATGTCACCGAGCTCTTTGCATCCAAGTCCAGCTCCTGAGTCACACTCTTAACCACTCCTCTGATTTCTGAGAGAAGAAGGGAGAGAGGGATAAAAACATGAGGCTAATCATTGATTGGCTGCCTCCTGCAGGCCCCCTACTGGGGATCGAGCCAGCAACCTAGGGTATGCCTGACCGGGAATTGAACGCTAACCTCCTGGGTCAGCACTCACTTGCTCACTGAGCTACACCGACTGGGCAGGACAGGCCTTTTACAAAAACCTTTGCGTACATTGCAGGGCTGGAGAAGGGGAGCTCTGAGGAGTGGTGGTGAGGAACATGGCTCGGCAGTCAGAGCTGTGGGTGACTTTGGGCAAGTGGCTTTCCTTCTCTGAGCCTTGGGTTTTTCACGTGGGTTATTATTTGAATTAAAGAAGATAATGCATATAATGTGCTTGGTGTGTAGTAGGCAGGTAAGACAACAAGGGTGCTATTTTCGTGACAATCATCCTGCACCCTTGTTGGCAACATTGTGCGGAGGATTTATACCCGGGGTCGGGCTTTGGACTAGGGCAGCGGTTGCCAACCTTTCGGACCTCACGGACCACCAGTTGGTGACCACTGGACTAGGGCACCTTTGAGGGTCCTTCCCAATCTAATGAACCTGGCACATGGTAGTAAGTATTTAATAAACAACTTGTTAAAAACAGTTGTTTTTATCTTTATCATTCTATGGTTGAGAAGAAGTCAGGAAAAAAACACATTGATGTCCTAAAAACAGCTCACATCATCAATGTATCCTTTTCAAAATATATATATGTTTTTATTGACTTTAGAGAGAGAGGAAGGGAGAGAGAGAAACATTGATGAGAGAGAAACATCCATTGGCCGCCTCCTGCATGCCCCCAACCAGGGACTGAGCCCACAACCCTGGCATGTGCCTTGGCCAAGAATTGAACTGGTGACCTCTTGGTGCATGGGTCAGTGCTCAACCACTGAGCAACACAGGCCGGGTATCATTGTACTCTTGAAGCACTTTCCCATCTGTAATCCCAGTGGAGCTACACCACAGGGACAAAGGTGGTTGGCCCCATTTTATCAAAAGGGGCAGTTTCATATGGATCATAATTTACAGATGAACTAGAGGCCTGGTGCACAAAATATGTGCACTGGGGGAGGGGGGTCCCTCAGCCCAAACTGCGCCCTCTTGCAGTCCAGGAACCTTCGCTCCTTACTGCCTGCCTGCTCATTGTTCCTTATGGCTCAGCTTGCTGCTTCTTAACACTGCCCTGGAGGTGGCAGAGGCTCCCGCCACTGCTGTTGCGCTCGCCAGCCATGAGCCGGCTTCTGGCTGAGCATCGCTCCTCCTGTGGGAGCTCACTGACCACCAGGGGCAGCTCCTGCATTGAGCGTCTGCCCCCTGGTGGTCAGTGCGCATCATAGCGACCAGTTGTTCTGGTCGGTCCTCTGTAAAGGTCGCTTAGGCTTTTATATATATAGATGACCTGTGGGGGGATGCAGCCAGCCTGGGGCAGCGGGGGACCCGGTGCTCTTTTTCCCTGCTTGCCCCTCAGTGAGGACCACTGGGGATGACCAGGCCCACCTTTGCTTTCACCAGCCTGGTGGAGCGGATCCTAGACGGGTTTGTCGAATGCCTGCCTGCCTGCCTGACTGAGTGCTTCTCTCTCCCAGAGGGACAGTAGATGGCTTAGAAATCCAGAGAGCCTACACACCCATCAGCCCTGTCAATGCAGAAGGCTACTTTGAAGTTTTAATCAAGGTGAGCTGACTCACACGATGCTCCGAGCTGTGGACGGAAGCCCCCATTTGCTGGCTTGGGTGGGATGGGGCAGTTCCCACTGATGTGGAAGAGCCAGTGCTCACATGGAAGGAGGCTGGCCCGAGGGAAGAGAGGGGCTTCTCCCATCTCCTTCCTGGTGAAGGGGTCTAATCGACCCCCAACAGAGGGCTTATTCCTGACAGATTTTATGAAAAGGAGCCTCAGACTGAGCAAGTGGAAGCTGCTCCTCATTTTTGTGCCTGTCGGTGGAGAGAGCACTGAGCCTGAGGGGGAAGGGGACCCATTGTGTGCTGGGCATGGGGGTCCTCAGACAGCGGAGCAGCCAGAACAATACAGTGTGTTAGACACATAGCCAGGAGGCCCCAGTACAGCACAGGGTGGCTGGAGCTGTGGAAAGCAGGCTGGGCCTCCTCGCAGAAGATGCTGTATGTTTAAGTAAAGCAGTGGGGAACCAGAGGGAAAGGTGGGCGGAAGCTCTAAGTCAGTGGTTCTCAATCTGTGGTCGCGACCCCTTTGGCGGTTGAACGACCCTTTCATAGGGGTCGCCTAAGACCATCCTGCATATCAGATACTTACATTACGATTCATAACAGTAGCAACATTACAGTTATGAAGTAGCAACGAAAATAATTTTATGGTTGGGTCACAACATGAGGAACTGTATTTAAAGGGCCAGAAGGTCGAGAACCACTGCTCTCAGTGCTGGGAACTGCATGTGCAGTGGAGAAGGAGGCCTGATGGGGGAATCTGCTTATTTGTCCTGGATCGAAAGGGGCCATGCAAAGAAAAGTGGGATGCGGAGCACCTTGTGGACCAAACTAACCTGAGATTACTTCTCGGGGAAGTGGGCAGGGGCTGGGGCATTTGAGTTGGGTCTTAAAGGAGGAGTAGAAATTGGCAGTGGCAGGGAATGGCATCTAGGCCAAGAGGATGGATAACCAAAGGCAGGGAGAGGTGAAACAGAGCAGGGTCTTGTGGAAACTGTTCCCAGTCTGAATGGCAGGAGGAAAGGTGCTTGTGGGGCAGCCAAGGTGGTGAGGGGGTTGGCAGAGATGAGATGAACAAAGTGGGTTGGATACAAAATACCCCAGAGGCCCAAAGAATAGACACCAAGTATATAAGAAGTCATGAAGGTCCAATTATGTGGAAAAAATAATTAGGTGGGACTGCATGAAATTGCTTATACTCTAATATTTTTGACTTACAGAAACAGCAGTGTCATGTGGGTCAGCCTAACACATAGCTCTAGATCTGTGGTCGGCAAACTGTGGCTCGAGAGCCACATGCGGCTCTTTGGCCCCTTGAGTGTGGCTCTTTCACAAAATACCACAAAATACCACGTGCGGGCGCGCACGTACAGTGCGATTGAAACTTCGTGGCCCATGCACAGAAGTCGGTATTTTGAGGAAGAGCCACACTCAAGGGGCCAAAGAGCCGCATATGGCTCGAGAGCCGCAGTTTGCCGATCTTCAGTTTGCCGACCACTGCTCTAGATCGTCATTTCTCAAATGCAGTCCTAGGAAACACCAGTGTTTAAGAATAGCTTTCACATCCTTTTATCTCCCTCGTAGGACAGGGATTACCCCCATTTCATTGATAAGCAAACTAAGGCCCCAGGAGAACTTGAAGCTCCACAGCCAGTAAGTGTGGCAGATGGTGAGCCCTGGCCTCCTGACTCCAAGACCCCAGCACTGTCTCTGGCTCCCACCTCCCCTGCCTGCCTTCAGAGCCCGAGTGTTTACTCCCTCCCACATAAGCTTGGATGGGATCCCTTCTCCGCACAACTGTTTGTCTGGGAGATTCCACAAATCCTCTCCAAATGGCCTGCTTCCCCAAGCTGCTTGTCTGGGTGTGTTTCTGTTGAAAGGATAAGCCTAGAGACAGTCCCCTCCCAGCTGCAAGGCTGCTTTTCTCCTTGGTTTCCCAGAAAGCCTCTCTATAGAGAGATGCTTAATTACCCCTAAGCCGCTGGCTAGGAAGAGCTGGAAATGTCTTTGCAAATTGGGCAGACAGATGGTTTTAGGTTTACCCTCCCTGGTAGATGAGAAGGAGGAGTTCCCAATTCTCAGGCACCTCCTGGGCACCAGGCACTGCTTCTGGCTCTTTATTGTTTCGTTTCAACCTCATAACCACCCTACAGAGTAGGTCATATCCCCATTTTACAGATGGAGAAGGGATGACATCAGAGGGATGATGTCATTCTTCCCAGGCCCCTTGGGTAATACAATTCCAAGTGGAAGAACAAAAGTTCAGCGTCTGTCCTAGTTAACTAGTGTGTACTGAGCCAGGCTCTGTGTGGTCTGTGCCTCCCCTGAGACTGGGGCCAGAAACCAAGGTGTGCTCTGAGACAGCCTCCAGCAAGTTAGGGAACTGTAGCTTCCCTCCCAGACCTCTTCCAGGTGAGCCTAGCAAGGACTTCCCTGGCTTCAGGCACCTGGTGTCTAAGGAAGTCAGGGATGGTGCTAGAGGTGGCTGGGGGTGCCGAAAAGCATGTCTGGTGACCAGAGCCCAGCCTGGTTATAATTTCATATCAAACACCCTTCCAGTCCTGTGGTTCAGTGCTTCCCTCCTACCCCCACCCTACTGTGTCCACTTGCTGTTCCCAGCACCTGACCTGGGCTGTCCTACCCCTGACCGTACCATACTTGATGCCCAGAATCCTCTCTGCCCTCTACCTCCCATTCCCAGAGAATTCGATCTTACCCAGTTTTCAAGGTCCAGCTCAAACGCTTCCTCCTCCAGGAAGCTATCTTTTTTTTAATGTATTTTTGTTGATTTCAGAGAGGAAGAGAGAGATAAAAACATCAGTGATGAGGATCATTGATTGGCTGCCTCCTGCATGCCCCCTACTGGGGATGAAGCTCACAATCAGGGCATGTGCCCTTGACCAGAATAGAACCTGGGACCCTTCAGTCCACAGGCTGATGCTCTATCCACTGAGCCAAACCATCTAGGGCCAGGAAGCTATTCTTGATCCTGCTCCATTGGAAGGGACTGCACCTCCTCAGTGTTCTCCCAGCACTTTATCCTTCTCATGCAGTATTAGGGAGTCTCTACCGTGTGTATGTCTGAGACAGGACAGGTTCCTCCTGGACTGTGAGCTCCTTAATCTGAATAACTGAGTGATTGATCAGTTCACTCATTCATTCATTTGTTCATTCATAAATGTATGAATGGTCCAGCTGTCTTCAGCATGGTGCCTGGCACAGCGAGGGCAGGCCCTCAGAAAATGTAGTCTGCCTCACATGGAGGAATCTCCACATCCTTCATTTTTTCATCCATCCAAGAAGCAGTGTAGGCTGATGCAGAGCTTTCAAATGAGTGGGCTACACACTGATTCCAGCCCTAATTTTATTTGGATTTGGCCTGTAGAGTTTTTTTAAAAATTTGACTTAATTGCTGACATTTCAAAAATGTGAGATTTAACATAAAAATATGGATGTTTTGCTCCTATGGAAAATCAGATCTGGCATCATCAGCCCCACCAACTGTACTGGAATCTACAAAGTGGCTTCTTCCTTTAGAAGGAACATTCACTCCCCAATTTACCACAGTCCCTACCGTTCCCTGCTGCCCTCTGGAACTGAGACTGAATATTAGTTGTCACTAATCATTTCATACCCAGTTCTGTGCTCAGTTATGTTACCTGTATGGGCCCTGAGTTATCTGGGTTGAGACCTCTGTAGTTAAAGCTGAAGGTCCCCCCCCCAAAAAAAAAAAAAAGCTGAAGGTCCTATGGATTCTTACCCCAGCCTCACCATTTCCCTTGTGTGTAAGCTCCTGGGCCTCCTCTGAACACTGGGAATGACAGTACCAATCCTGTGGGATGAGGAGGATGATTAAATGAGATGACGCTTGTACAGTATTTAGCGTTGCAGAAAGGGCTCCCTGGGAATGGCTGGTGTGGTGTGGATTGGCAGCACTGCCCATCCCGATGAAGTCTCCTGTGTTTGCTCCCAGTGCTACCAGACTGGGCTGATGTCCCGGTATGTTGAGTCCTTGAGAGCAGGAGACACGGCTTTCTGGCGAGGACCTTTCGGAAACTTCTTCTATAAACCAAACCAGGTCAGTGCCAGCACACGGAATCCTCAGGAGACCCCCTTCCTTCCCCCCTCCCCTCCGTACCCCTCCGCACCCCAGCTTAGCCTCCAAGACTGCAGCTTCCAGTTTCGGGTTTCTGAGTCTCACGGTACCATTCTTCCTGAGAGTATCCTTGGGGCTGGACGTGGGAGGCGATGGACTAGGCACTAAGAAATACAATCGCCTGCCCATGCTCCAGAACTGTCCATGGCTGCCCATCTCTTAGAAAACTCCGACTCACGTACTTGGTATTTAAGACCCCGATCCCATCTCACCCGCAGATATCTTTCCAGATGCACATTCCTGTTACAAGACCACAGAGACTGCCCCCTAATTCTGTCTCATGGCTCACTGCCTGGGAGGCCACTGCTTCCCAGCCGGGAAGGCTCTCCTCCTTATCTTCATGCTACGCTCAGAGCCTTCCCTGATGTTCCCAGGAGGGATCAGTAATTTTGCATCAGTTGGTGCATATCTGGAAGGCAGTTTGGCAGTATGAAGTCTTGAGAATCTCTGACCCAGTAATTCCACTTCTGGAAGTCTGTCCTGTGGCAGGAATCCAAAATGCTGACTCTTGCACATGTTCATTACAGCTTTATTTATGGTAGCAAGAAATTGGAGATAGCTGAGTATTCAGCCACAGGGGAACATTTAAGTACACTGGGTTTCAGGTACTTAAAGGAATTATCCTGGATTTTAAAATTATGTTTATAATTGATATTATATGTTTATATTATAAGATCAAGTGACAAACACTAGGCACAAAACTGAATAGACACCAGACTGGGAAACTAAGTTAAAATGCACAGAAAAAAAAAATATGGAAAGAAAATGCAATTAAATGATAGCCTTATTTCAGCTCTGGGTGATGAAATAAGGGGTGATTTTTATTTTCTTCATTATACTTTCCAAATTCTCCATAATGAACACCTATTACCTTTCTAATTAGGAAAACAAAAACAAGGAAGAGAATGAGTCATTCCTCTCCATTCTTTTTGTTTAAAAATAGCTTTTATTGTTTGTTTTTCCTTATTATAAATGCAATACATGTTCATTACCAAAAAAAAAAAAAAAAACCGCAGATATATAGAGAGGCAATAAGAAGAAAATAAAGAACACCTGCAGGCCATCTACCCAGACATATCAGTCTTAGTACCTTGGCATGTACTCTTCTAGATCCTCTTCCATGCGTCAGTGTATGAACAAGGGCACACACCTTTGTGCATATAGTGATATCAAGCATGTATGTGCCAATCTCTGATTTGAATCCTCACAACAGCTCCTAGTACTGCTACCCTCATTTTACAGATAAGGGATATATATATATATATATATATATATATGCACACATACATACATACAAAATATACTTTAAAAAATATATATTTTTCAAAGTATATTTTTATTGATTTCAGAGAGGAAGGAAGAGGGAAAGAGAGAGATAGAAACATCAATGATGAGAGAGAATCATCGATTGGCTGCCTCCTGTATGCCCCCACTGGGGAGCCTGCAACCCAGGCATGTGCCCTGACCAGGAATCGAACTGTGACTTCTTGGTTCATAGGTGAACGCTCAACCACTGAGCCATGCTGGCCAGGCAGGGTGTGCATATATTAACACTCTTCTACAATGTTCTCCTAGTGCTAACCATTTTCAGCCTTGCATTTCAGTTGAGGATGTCCCTGTGTCCCCCAGACCTAAGAGCAGGCACTGAGCATCTTCCGTTTTCTCACAACCTTGAGGTGCACCTGACGAAGGTGGTCTTCACCACCTTTTCTGGGTGGAGCCTCTCCATGCCCCATGGCTGCTCCCTTGCATCCACAGAACACGGATGGAAACCCTTGCATTTCCTGTCTAGGGAGGATGTCGGGCCCAGCAGTGAGGAAGAAGAGATGGGGTCCCACACATTGACGCCGGCCCCTGAGGAGGCTGGGGTGTCTTGCTGCTCTGCAGTTGTCTTCTTTGCAGATGGACATCAAGTCAGCCTGGAGGACTGACACATTAGCATTGATCTGTGTGCTCCTCCACACACATTCCCATGTCTTCATCCAGGGCCAGGCCCTTGCTGGACCCTGGGGCCCAGAACGGGCCAGACAAGACCCCTGTACTCCAGAAGCTCATGGTCTAACGGGGAGACTGACACCCAAACAGATGACCACAGCACAGCATGGCCAGTGTTGTGGGGCAGGTCCACAGGGGGCTGTGGGAAACAGGAAGGACCCCTCACCTGTCCCTGGCTCAGGGAAGGCTTCCCAGGGCAGCACCTGAGCAGCAGGAGGAGGAGGACCAGGGTAGGCTAACGACTGGGAGACGGCAGGGCAGGGAATCGGGCTGGATGGTATGGCGGGCAGTAAGGGGCTCAGAAAGGGGAAGGAATCTATGTAAAGTATCCTGTAGTCTGGAGAGGGGCAGGCTCAGGTTTCCAAACCAGCACCCTGAGAGCTCTGCAGGGCTGCCCTGGCACAGAGGAAGCAGCCTGAGTGCAGGGCCGGCATGGTGGCAGTGGGCCAGGCTGTGCTGAGAGCAGGTTTTAGCTCAATGTGAGGTGGCAAAACCTCCCTGGCAAAGGAGGTCAGTCCGTCATAGAGCAAACTGCCTGGCAAGGTAATGAGCTGCCTGTCAGCAGAAGCATGTAAGGGTCCTGTGGGGATGTTTAGCAGGAAAACAAACCACTGTAAGATGGGCCACACCCTCAGGCTCCCTTTCAGCACCAGATTCCTTGATTTCTGTTACACAGACCTTCCAGGCTGTAGACTAATAAGCAGGGTGGTATCCTAGAGGAGGCAGAGCGGGGAGCACTAGGAAGGGCAGGGCCCTCCGGTTCGGGCAAGCCCAAGAACAGGCCCCAAAGTGGGTCGGTCGGGTGAGACCCCCCAACCCTTCCTGTCTATACCCCTCCTGTTCCCCAGTACGGTGAGCTGCTCATGCTGGCTTCGGGCACCGGCCTGGCCCCCATGGTGCCCCTCCTGCACAGCATCACGGACAATGCGGAGGATGAGACCTTTGTCACCCTGGTCAGCTGCTTCAAGACCTTTGAGGGCATCTACCTGAAAACCTTCCTGCAAGAGCAGGCCCGCTTCTGGAACGTCCGCACCTTCTTTGTTCTCAGCCAGGTAAGCCCAAGGGCGGGGGGGTGGTGGTGGTGGTGGTGGAGGGGGTGGTGGTGGAGGGGGCAACTTCCTTTCCCAGTTGAGACTGCGCTTCTGCCCCTGTCCCAAGGCTGCTGTGGTTCTGTGCCCAGGCTGCAAAGATCCAGCCCCTGGTGGAGTCCCCACCATGTGCCTGGCAGGGAGGCAGGTGTCCTGTTCATTATGCAGATGAGGAAACCTGCTCAGGATGGTGGAGGTGCCAGCCCGAGAGGTGCTGCTCAATGGGGTACAGCCAGGATTTGAGCCTGGGACTCTCTGACTCCAGAGCTCCAGCCCTCACCCATCATGCTTTGCTGCCTGTTATCTGCCCTCTGGCATCAGCAGTTGTGTGCCTACCACATCACTTTGCCCCTGCCTGCGAGGAAAGCTGCTTTCCAACTCTCCTGGCTGCAGACACTCTAGCTCAGTGGTTCTCAACCTTCTGGCCCTTTAAATACAGTTCCTCATGTTGTGACCCAACCATAAAATTATTTTCGTTGCTACTTCATAACTGTAATGTTGCTACTGTTACGAATCATAATGTAAGTATCTGATATGCAGGATGGTGTTAGGTGACCCCTGTGAAAGGGTCGTTTGACCGCCAAAGGGGTCGTGACCCACAGGATGAGAACCGCTGCTCTAGCTGGAAGCGATTCTGCCTCCTGACACCCCTGCCTCTGGCTCCCCATCCCCTCATTCACTCAGGCCTTCCTGGCCCCTCCCCTGTGAACCCTAATAGCATGAGGGCCCATCATGCCCTTTACCTCAAGCCCAGCCCTTAGCTCTCTCTGTTCACCTGTCTTCCCCTGTCAGTAGCTTTATTTCTCTTTCCTGCAGCCTCTGCTGCTCTGGGTCAGCCTCATTGCCCTGTACTTTGGACCACCCTTCTCATCAGTTTCCTCTTTGAGTCAGCTTTAGAGTGTCCCTAAAGACGTCTGTGATCCTCGACATGTGGCCGGGTGGGTGTGTCAGGAAACTGGGTTTCCCTTCCTAACACCAGAGGTCCGGGGCTCCCCAGGGGCCGGGGTCTGCTGGCCTGTCCATGGGACAGAGTTGTCGAGAGGGTTGTGCTTGGTGAGCGTGAGCAGCAGCAGCAGTGCCCAGGCAGGGGAAGGAAGCAGAAGGCTGATGCAGCCGAGAGGGGGGTGAGGGAAAGGCCACTGCTGCCTGGCAGCACCCTCCCCCCTTCCCGAGGGCCTGGTCAGGGAGGGTGGCAGATGGGGCAGGAAGCTGGCACCTGGCAGAATCGCCCCGGCTTCCTTTTTCCAAACCACATGCCAGGTGCCGATGAGGATGACCTGCTCTCTTCCATCCAGGCATCACCTGTTTATGGGAGACAGCCACAGGGATGGCTGACAATGGCTTCCCCTCCTTGCGCACTTTCTCTCTGCCTGGCAATGTTCTAAGCATTTTATGTGTGTTAACGCATGTAAACCCCCACCACAATCTTAGGAGTTTTGTGCTGCCATCATGCCCATTGTACACATGTGAAAACTGAGGCTCAGGAGATTTAAGAACCTTGCCCAAGGTAACAGCCAGTTGGTGGGAAGCTGGATGTGAACCCTGGTGGTCCTACTCCAGAGGCCGTGCCCTTACTGCTCATCAGTATAAGACAGCACAGGGATGGGTGCTGCGGAGGGTGTTCAGGATGCTGCAGCAAGCAGGGAGGGTTTCACAGAGGAGGTGGCACCCGAACCTGGGCTTGTGGGTAGAGTTCAAGTTCACCAGCAATAGAGGACCTTCAGCTCCGGGCTGGGGCTTGGATGATGCCAGGGGCCTGGGATGGGTCAGGCGAGTGGGCTGGCCATCAGTGGCAGGGACGATGGAGTGACAGGCACCTCCTGTTCATCCGCACTCCCTCCACTCAGGATGCTCCCTCTCCTGCCTGGTTGCAGCGACAGCTTGAATCTTCGAGCATCTCCCTGCTCCAGACACCCCCTGTTGATTTGTCCTTCATCCTGCAGCTGGGAGGGCAACTCTGACACACCTCCGCCCTGCTTCCAGCCCTTCCCTGGCTCCCTACTGCTCTCAGCCTGCATGGCTGTGCCAGTCCTCTGCCGCCTTGTCTCCAGGCATGCCCTCCCTGCGTGCTGCGTTCTGGTGGCACTGGTCTGCTGAGCTTGCAGGTGCTGTCTGCTCTTCTGGCTGCTGGGCCTGTGCTCACCACCATTCCCTTTGCCAGGAGTACTCCTCCCTGCTTCTTTACCCAACACCTACTCATCCCTCCTCTCCGCTGAGGTAACGCCATTCGGGAAGCACTCCCTGAGCCCAGGCTGGATGGATGTTTGTACTGTCACTGCCGGGGCTCTCCTTTGCAGCAGCACATGGTTTACCGTCCCCTCCCCACCTGAGCAGTAACCAGACCCTATGCATCTCGGGTATGCAACTGAGGAGGCTGAGTGAGCCTAACTGGCCTGAGGGAATCGGGCAGTGGGAAGGAGAGGGGAGGCCAGTGTTCCTGCCCTCAAGGGCCCATAGCAGGGGTCCTCAAACCTTTTAAACGGGGGGCCAGTTCACTGTCCCTCAGACGTTGGAGGGCCAGACTATAGTTTAAAAAAAAAACTATGAACAAATTGCTATGCACACTGCACATATCTTATTTTGAAGTAAAAAAACAAAACGGGAACAAATACAGTATTTGTATTTGCATGTGGCCCGCGGGCCGTAGTTTGAGGACCCCTGCCTTAAACAGTGAACACCAGCCAGTTATGCTCCCAGGGTGATGGTGTGGACAGCCTTGGGGAGATGCTGGGAGACCCACAGTAATGGGGAGAAAACACTCCCCCCACGGTGACAGGTACAGTGGCCCCAAGAGGCAGTGAGGAACAAAGGAGCCTGAGTTCTCCTGCCTCTGCTCCTACCTCATTGTGTGCCCCCGGAATGTCCCTCCTCCCTGTGCTCCCCTGTTGTCAGAGGGTAACTACCTACCTACAGGCTGGCAGTGGGGTGCTGCGTCCAGCGTGAGCAAGCGCCTGACTTGCGGTAGGGCTAGGGGAAGGTTGCCTTCCCATGCCCTCTGCCTCAGTTTCCTCATTTGGCGGGGATAGCTGTGTGTGAACTCGGAGGACCCCCAGTAGTCACCCCCACCGTTTCTCATCATCCCAGGAGAACTCCCCGGAGCAGCTTCCTTGGAGTTACCGGGAGAAGACCCGCTTTGGCCGCCTGGGCCAGGACCTGATTGAAGAGCTGGTTGGCTCCTGCCGGAGAAAGCCTTTTGCGTTGGTCTGTGGCTCGGCCGAGTTTACCGAGGACATGGCCAAGGGCCTGCTGCGTGCGGGCCTGGCCAAGGACTCCTACTTCCTCTTCTAGGCCAGGCCTCCCTTAAGCCCAGGCCAGGGGCCTGCCAGTGAGACCCAGGGAGGAGCACAGACTGGGACCAGAAGATGTGGCAGAAGACCACAGCTGACTCGCCCCGTGATGGCGGTGGCTGCCTGTACCTCCACGCACCTGTTTCTCATCTCTACCTCCCTCAGCAGGCATCCTGCAGTGGGGGGGGGGGGGGTGGGGGGTGGTGGAGGGGGGGGGTGGAGGTGGCAGGAGCCTGGGGAGGAGTAACCAGCTGGGAGTCAGGAAGGACTTCCTGGAGTCCTGGTCCAGGCTGAGCCCCAGGAGGAGGAGGGGTTGGTAGGAGAAGGGCCAGAAGAGCTCCCCTAGTTCCTCAGGTTAGGGGCTTGTGCCGTTAGACCATGCCCTGTGCTTCCCCTGGGTGGCCTCAGGACTGGCTCAGTGACTGTCGGTTAAGCACAGGAAATGACCACGGGCGGCTGAGAGCTCTTTGGAGGAGGAACTTACCTTCTGTACCTCCAGTGCCAGGAGCCTGACACAAGGAAGGTCTTGGGTTCTGTGACCTGACCCCATTCCCCGAGTGAGGGGGGGCTTTGGGTTACCTTTGTTTTGTATTGGCCCTGGGCCTTTCCTGCTGCGAAGGGCTTCGCTCAGCCTCCCTTCCCTAGAGCCCAGCCCAGAGTCCTTTTTCCAGCAAAAGAGCCACAGACACAAATGCCCCTCCTCCTGCAGGCAGCCAACTCAGCCCTCCCTTCAGCTCTGGTGCCCTGGCGACGGTTGCTATGGAGATCTAAAGATAGAGCAGGAGTCAGGAGACCTGGGTCCTTCTCCCTGCTCTGCCCACTGAGTGGATGCTGATTCTGATCCACCCGCCCCTCCCGTCCACCCCCGCCCCCTCCATCCTGCGTGGGGCGTGCCCTCCCCGGGGAAGCGGGCGCCCCTGGGCAGCGCACTGCAGTTAATGAATTCTGCCTTTCGCAGCCGGGCTCCAGTGCGCTGCACCAGCTCAGGCTGGCTACAGGCTGCCCCAGAACCAGAACGTTAAGTCACGGCACCTCAGGATGAGAGAACCATAGAATCATGTAGTTAGAACTTTACAGTCAGAATCCCAGCCCTCCTCATGTCAGAGACTAAAGCTCAGGTCTCCAGAGAGCATCTAGTCCGCCAGGCTCATTGTGTCGATGGGGAAACTGAGGACCAATGAGGCTGAGTGACCAGAGCAAGGAAGACCATTCACGGCGGGGCCAGCACCAGAAGCCAGGTCTCCAAGTGGCAGCCTGTGCTCAGTAGTTTTCAAACTGGGCTCCGCGGGACACAGGGGTTCCTGGTGTGGCAGCAGTGATGGGATGGCCAGACGGGGTCTCCAGGCCCCCCTTCAGCCAGAGCAGCCTTATTTTTATTCAATTTACATTTTGAGGCTGGGATTAATTTTCACTTCTGAAAAAACGGCTTCCTTGCACCACCCCAAAAGTTGCAACAAATCTGTGTGCTGTGCCATGTTTAGTAAATAATCATGACAGGCAGTTGGGGATGTTGCCAAGGGTTTCAAAGGCACAATTCCGTGGTCAAATGTGTGGGGGATACCGACTGTGACCTTCACCGAGAATCCCATGCCCACGAGGACAGTAAAGGCTCCGAGAGTCCAATGGTGAAGAAGCGTTTTCCCTGTGTTGAACCCAGAGTTCCCCACGGTGTTTCCCTGTGGACCGTTGCTACCCACTAGACCTAGAGTCTGAGCCTGGCACTCCGTGGGACATGCGCTGGGAGATGCCAGGCTGTCGCAGCACCGCCTTTGAGCTCAGTGCGGTGTGCGGGGAGGCTGTGCCGAGTCAGGGGCCCAGCAGGAACTGTGACCTCCTTTGGCCTCGCCTGTGACTTGGACAAGACATGTTTCCTCTCTCGGGGCCTCGGAAATCTGGGCGTCTTCCCCACGCTTTCCTCTCCCTCAGCACCTCTCACGCTCTCCTCACAGGGACTCCTGGGGTCCGATTATGGGCCAGGCTCTGTTGTGGGCACCGAGGAAGCAACAGGGAAAGGCAGGTGAGTTCTGGGAGCTCCTCCCGGAGCTTACAGCCCAAAAGGGGAGCAGGCGAACCTGCATCCCAGGGCCGTGTGTGTTCTGGGCGGGGACGCACGGAGTGCTGCTAGAGTGGGCGGCGAGGGAGGGCCAGGGACCCTCTGCGCTGGGTGAGGAGCTCCAAGAGTATTACCCTCATTCATAAGGCTGATGGGGGTCCCCACTTGAGGGGTGGGGAGCCTGGGGCAGTTCTTGTGTGTCTTTGTCCCCTTTAGATACTTGACGCGTAGATATCACAGGCCACCCATGATACCCAGCAGCCCCTCTCGTCCTATAATGTCACCCCCCTCTCCCCTTCACTCCACGTGGGTCTGTGCAGCCTGGATACGGGTGGGGTCTCTCATCAGGGGACAGTGGTGCTCACCAGCCATGCCCTTGGTGCCAAGACGCCAACATGTTGCCCGGAAACGCGAGCTCATGCTGGGTGCTGGGCCTCGCAGGGTGCTAGCGAGCCCAGGACGAGGACTGGTTGGGAGATGTGGGGATGCACCTCTTTGAATCGGGCAAGGTTCCCGTCCGCTGGCCACTGCTGCCGTCTCTCTCCTGACGATGCCCCCGCCGCATGTTGTGGGAGATGTGCTGTCTGGGTGATGGCAGCAAAATGACAACGGCCTCAGTCCAGCCTTCGCCATGCTGTGCTGCACCGCTCAAGCGACCCCTCGTTGGCCTCCCGGCCTCCAGCCTCTCTCCACACCCCCCCACCCCCGCCCTACCTCTCACACTGCAGCCAGACCAATCTTTTTGACTGTGGTAAGAACACTTAACATGAGATCAGCCCTCGTCACACACTTTTATGTGCACAATGCATTATTGTTGACGAGGCACAGACCCCCAGCGCTCATCCAGCGCCCTTTTCCTAACACACATCTGAGCCCATCACGCCCTTGCTTAAGATCCTCCAGCGGCTGCCTGCCACCCTCAGGATACGGCCTCTCAGCTGTCCACCTCTCCAGACTTCCTTCACACTGACCCCTGGCCCCCTGGCCCCCAGCTCGTGTGTTCCAACTTGTTCTCTTGCATCAGCCATTCCCTTCCCATCGGCTGCTTCCCCTGCCTGGGGGCCATCCTGCCGTCCTCCTGTCGCCACGCGCCTTGGCCTTGTCTTCTAAGGGCTCAACTCGGGGTCACTTCCTCTCGGAAGCCTTTCCTGCCTCTGCCGCTCCAGGCCAGGCTAGTGAGCGGGCTCGTGTGTTCTGTGTTGCACCTCTCAGACTCTCGTTTGTGTGCGAGCACACCAAGGGTCTCCTACAGAGGCCTGTTAGGTGTGTTCCCAGTGTGGGGGGTGCTCCGTGCATCCTGAATGTCTCCTGCCTGAATAATAAACAGCTAATACTCATGGAGTACTTTACAGGTTGCAAAATGTGCTTACAGCTACATTGAAGCATGTAATTGTTGCTAAAATGCATTTTAGTGCCCATTTTACCGATGAGGAAACTGAGCTTATGCGACAGCAAGCCATGCTGCAAGGCCAGGGAGGGGTGCATGCATTCCAGCATGCTGTGATTGTTACACTGATCATACGTGACGCATGCGTGCACCAGGAGATGTGTGTAAAGATGGTCATTGCCACACATTTGAAATAGCAAAGAGTAAAAAGTGCCTGTCTGTGCGTCAGTAGGAGAAGGCAGAAACGAACCAAACTGTTCTATGGAGACCTGCACCGGAACGCCGCACGGCAGGCACCGCGAAGGACCAGGCCTGCACGTACCAACACAGACTAAATCCTGAGACGGAATAACTGAGTGAAAAGGGAAAGGCACAGTGAGATAACCATAGTCAGAAAGTTTAAACACAGAATGGCGCCGAGTACTCGGGGAGGAGACCCACCCACTTCAAGGAGAGGTGACCTCTGGGGACAGGGAGGGGGCTGGGGGTGGAGGGCTCTTACCTGGTCACTGTGTTATAAGAATAGTTAAAGTGAATATGGCCGGACAGGAACCTCTGGTGAAGCTGGGTGACGGGTTCACTGGTTCTGCTTTATTATGCTCTACCATTTTTTCTGTTTGAAATAGTTCCATAATCAAAGATTTAAAAAAATAAGATGAACAGTACCTGCTCAAAGTGCTTCCGAAACTAGAGGCTTAACAACATTCATTCCACCCAGCCAGCGTCGCTCAGCGGTTGAGCGTCGACCTGTGAACCAGGAGGTCAAGATTTGATTCCCGGTGAGGGCACATACCTGGATTACAGGCTCGATACTCAGTGTGGGGCGCACAGGAGGCAGCCGATCAATGATTCTCTCTCATCATTGATGTTTCTCTCCCTCTTCCTCTCTGAAATCAATAAGAATATATTTAAAAACAACAAAACATTCATTCCCTCTCCCCCACCTCAGGATTTTCTGTGTCCCTATATACTCCAAACTTTCAGTCTCTCAGTTGTGAGCACCTACTGTGTGCCGCCCGGTCCAGACACAGCAGCGATGGTGTAAACAATGCCCAGCACTCAGCTTCCGTGCTGTTCCTTCTTTCTGCTTGTCCCCCTTCTTTCCCTCGGGAACTCAGAGCGACTTTCCAGACACCACAGGTGGGGTTCTTTTTCCCTTCTTTTTATTTGTTTGTTGGTTGGTTTATTTTTAATCCCCACCGAGAATATTTTTCCATTGATTTTTAGAGAGAGTGGAAGAGAGAGGGAAAGACAAAAATATTGATGTGAGAGAAACACATCGATTGGTTGCCTTCTGCACGCGCCCTGTGGGCCGGGAGGAGCCTGCAACGAAGGGACATGCCCTTGACCAGAATAGAAACCGGGACCCTTTGGTCCGCAGGCCGATGCTCTATCCACTGAGCAAAACAGCCAGGGCTTTTTCCCTTCTTTTTCAGTTTACAGGCTGACGCTCTATCCTCTGAGCCAAACCGGTTAGGGCTCCTTCTTTTTAATAAATGTTCCTTTTTATGTGAGGCTGATCCTAAGCAAGTGGCTTGGCCTCTCTGAGCCTCAGTTTACTCCTCCACACAGTGGGGTGGTAGCACACTCCCAGGGTTGTGTGAGGGTGAAGGAAGCCCGAGGGAGCCAGAGCACAGCACCTGGCACACAGTGGGGGTGAGAACTCGGGCCCTGCTGGCCTCTCCCTGCTGGCCCTTCTCAGCAGTGCCCGGCTCAGGGCGGCCTCTGACTTT